TGTGTTAGTTCTAGCATCTGAAAAAATTACACAGTCCCTCCAAAACGAAAGTGATCGAGCTCTTCCATGATATGAGAAGTGAACTTTAGACCCGTTTAGATTACGACACCAACCTCACAAAAAAGGTAACACAGGAACGTACGTAATGCCGAATAATAAAGTACATTAACATTTATTACAAGTGAAACATTTTCAACATGAGAGAGGGCGCGGAGTTGAGGCTGAAGAGTAGCGGTAGCTCGATGTTGTTTTGGACTCCGCCCGTGATGCATTGATACCGAAATCCCGCAACGAACATGTAGTCACAGGTGAACAATCAAAAGCGAGAGGTCGCAGACAAGTAGCGGGTTTGGCTGTGGTCAGGCGTGCGGGTAGTCGTTCGGGCGGTGTCGGGAGGTGACACCTGGTTATCACTACCTTCCAGCCCCGTTCTCGTGCACTTTTGACAGGAAAAGTGGCACGCTAATGCGGCTGTGGCCACATCAGGGCATATCATCGTTGGTGGTTTCCAACAGAGGGGGTCGCATTTGGCCGCTGGGGAGGGTTCATTTGCTCTTTGTTAAGAGAAAGGGGTCGTATTTGCCTTCCGAGAGGAATTTGTGGCACTGGGGAAATTTTCCCCGGTTGTTGACTTTTCGTGGGTTTTTCCTGTTTCATGTGGCCTATACAGGGGGGGGGCAAAAAAAAGTCACTTTTCTTCCTTGACTTTCGAGGCGTTATAAGTTACACTTTATTAAATTCTGATCGGACAATTTACCACCATAATCAACAGCATATTAAATACTATCATGACACTCCGCCAGCCTTCTGGAGGAGCGCCGTCGAGAGATTCTGCCACGCAACCGTGATTCGGTACCTGGCTTCAGCGAGATAGCTGATTTCTCGGCCACTGCAGACCACCTTGTTGAGCTCCGCCCGAACTCGGTAATTGAGAGAGTTTAGGTCAGGGGACATACTTGAATATTCCATCTTCTTCAGGTACTCAACGCCCTTCCATTCCAAGTAGGCGAGAGTTTTTCCAACGCCCTTCCATGTGGTGGCACCCAATCCTGTAGCAGTACAAAGTTTCCAAGAAGGTACGGGCGACGACATGTGGGAGGATATTCTTCTCGAGTTGCTCGTGTAACCGCCAGCGCTCACCTTCAGTCCGGGGTCCACGAAGAAAATATCGGTCTTCCCTTCCAGGTACGTCCGGTCCATACCATCAACTCGCGCCTTGGCGACTACGGTGAAGATGATGTCCTAGACCGTAGCGACGTTGTCGGAGCTGCTCGATGTTGGAGGTCTTCCAGATCGAGACTGGTCTCCAGGTAGCTATCCATGGGTGACTCCATACTAGAAGTTTCGCAGCTGTTTGGAGGTGACATGAATTCCGAAGGTCTTCTCCAGTCAGGTTGCGACTGGAGATGACTTCATATTTTGGTGTACATGAAGGTGATGGGCGAGAGCCAGCTCCTGCTTATCGAGGAACATCTTGGGTATCTTCCGCCCTGGTACTCGTATCCACGTCCTCTGTCTGGGCTGCGAAAACTTTGCTGATATGTGACTCGGTCGAAGTGACTTTTTTTGCCCCCCCCCCCTGTATATTCCCGCTCCTCCTCTCGTTCGACAGCAAAAATTCACGGGGAAAAGTTGGAAAATCTTCGAAAAATTCGAAGAAGCTGTAGGTAGGATGGGGAAGGGATGGGGGAGGGGGTCCTGTGCTATTCCCCTCCCCGCTCGACAGCTCGGTCGTATCAGAGGAGGGACCAATGATGTGACCTGGGCTGCACTCACCTCGCATATAGCAGCTACCAGTATCCACGGAGATGAGTGTACAATTACAGTTTGCCCTTCATTGATTAGAATGCTTTCAGGACCGCTTCTGTCCGGCAAAACTGCATCGCCCAATGCAGTTCCTTCTTACCTATATACTATTTCACGTCTATCTTCTCTATGCCACACTCTATGGCGTCACTCAACTCATAGTTCATCACACACGCATAAAAGGATCGCACATTATACCAATGTTACCATCTGTAGCACACTGCAAAGAAAAGGTACATGGTGACACAGAGTGATTTTTCTCTCGAGAAAAACCTTCACTTTCTACAAGTGACTGCTGTTTTCTGCAGGTTATAATGTTCGTGACGTCGATATTTGTCTGGCATTGGTTTTCAAGGAGTGTTCTGGGAATTTCGGCTGGCTGGGAGTATGTTACTTCTTGGGTGGTCAATCTTCGACCACAAATAAATATTAAGCCTCAGCTGGTTAGACTTCTCTCCTTTCCAATCAACACCTTCCACTCTAATGTGCATACCTATCATTTCAGAAACTAGTCAATGCCTCGGATTCCTGCCATTCGAATAAATCTAATTTATCGATAAATATGGAAGAAGTGGGTACAAAAAAATTGAACTTATGAACGAAATCAACTCGCCATATCTTTACCTTCTGTATTTCGTGTTTTTACTCCGAGCGCACGGCACCCTATCCTTGAGACGCGGTAAGCGTGGCTGCGTACTTGGCGTAGGTTGGGTTTCTCGTGAGATATTCATTCCAGTTTGAAACAGCCCCATTTTGTTTCGTGTTGAACAAAGAGATGACCATAATTATCCCAAAATCAAAATATCCACCAGGAGCGCAGTTGCCGTCACCTTCGTAAATGAAGAAACCAACCACGCCCATCGCATCTCAGGAAATTAAATGTAAAAACTAGCAACCCTATTGTCCAGAGAACAGGAGCGAAGGACTTCTGCGTTTTCTGTACAAAAAGTATTTTTGAAGGTCAAAGCGGATGTGGACGTGTTCCTAAGTCCTGAGAAGGAAGAATTTGCCGAATTGATGAAAGGCTTCCAGAGGGCAACTGATACCGCTTCGTTCGCCAGTGATCTTGTGTCTTCAGTGGCAGCGTAATTACGACTAATGATCCTGTAGTGAAAAGGTTCCTAAATTGACTGGTCTTTTTAGAAGTATCACACCATCGGATTCCGTTGAATCGCTGGGAGCCTGGTCGTCCTCTGGCATTCTAGAAGACCAGGACGAGGTAGATTTGGACGCAGAGTTTGACAAGGCTTGCTTACTACAGGTGGGTACAGAATCTTGTGTGCTTGGTGACAGAAGGTGCACACATGAATGCTGAGTACAAGAAGCTAAGAATATTACCGCCACGGTACCGTAACCCAAAGCGGCGCCCTTTAAATTGGAAGTCTGTCGTAGGCGCGTTAAAAACATCAGCACGGGCGCTGAGACTATGCCGATATTTCCTTTTGTAAGTGGAAGAAAAAGGATGTGTATTTGGGATGTCGTTATGAGGATTTCGATGTGAGGATAGCCTGATCTATCTTTCTATTACCATTGCTTCAAGCACTTTGACGGTGCTGCACGCTTGATGCTAACCAATGTGGGATAGAGACGGCTTTCCAAGGTCGCTGTAGTAAACAATAAATTGATGTGGTACTACGGTCGACTTATTAGCCTCATCGCCTTGAAAGGTGGAATAGGTGGTACTTGCATGTAGTTGGTCGCATTCACAACTACGACTTTTCAACCTGGGAATAATTTTTTATCCCAAAACTTAGTTACAAATTATGAAATCATCCTCCGAAGTAGAAACAAACATTACTGTGGGAACTAGAGAGCCAAATTGAGACAGAAACTGCTAGGCACCAGAAAGGCGAAAAGGCATCTTGGCGGTTACAGAATCTCCGTAACCGCCAAGATATGACGGTAAATTATGTCAAAAACCTGTCATCACAAACGTTGTCTGCAAGAGTATATCGCTACTGCCAGTCACGATCCTGACCTAAAGTTCCTTTTCAGCACTGATAACCAGCAGTCGTGTTTATATTCGAGACCGAGGATTAGTCTAACAACCGATCTGTAGCGAACTTTGTCCGAACTGTAGTTGCACCAGAACTGAGTCCGAACTTTAGTTGCACCAAACTGGCGCCAAATGGTACCGTCACGAAAAATGTCACGTCAGGATCGAGATCACTACTTTCTACGTCTAGTTGTTATGGCGGGTCTTTCGCTTCTGCAACACTACGCATGCAGTGAAATTACATGGAATAAGTTGTGAAAGCACTTGCACTGTAAAATAATTCTCTGGTCTGTAGTAAGTAAAGTAATTCGGCTCTTTATATTCATGTATTTATTCTCCAAATGCAAATACATAAAGAAGCGTTGCGAGCGGTATGAATTCCCTTACGCTGCGCATATGCAGAGCCTCTATATCGAGAAAAAGAATTCATAAGCGAAATGTGCACTAAATTCCCGTCCACCCTCGAACGCTGCAGTCTAAGCATTTCCGCACAATTCCCGTAGTGGTACCGGCGTAAAGTTCGGTGTTATACGTACGTCCACTGCGGAGTTACAATCAACTGGGCGCCGCTTTGGTGGTATACGGTATCGCGGTGGTAATACTGAATTCAGCTTCTTGTATGCTGGGTGAGTTTTTTGCAAAATTTTTGACCACAGGCTGCACTTCAACCCGCACCCCATGCTTGCTGGGCGAGTGCGTTATCGGTTAGCTTCAATTGCGCTAAAAGCAGCAGTTATCCTTATAGAACAAGTAGGTTAACAGTTGAGGGGTATTTCCATAGCAGTATGGTGGTATCAGGATGTCCCACAGTTCTTGATCAATTTGCTGTTCAAATCCTGCTTGTTTTGCATCCGAACTTAGGCCATTGATGATTACGCGGTAAATGTTGGAGAGCAGCGTAGGCTTTCAGGTACTAAAAATTGGTTACCTGGGTAAAGCAACGAAGCAACTGGTAATCGCTGCGCAGGATCAAGCATCCGTTGAGGAATCCTCAACAGGGAGTTTGGCTCGTTGAAAATGGGTGAGAGCGGGTCGTTTTCGAACAAGTTGGCAGGAGCGAACATATGATGTTTTCCAGCAGTTTTTATCTTTTTCTCAGAAAATATGTGTGAACGAACTTATTTCCTTCTAGATGGCAGGCGATATGTAGTTTCCTCGTTGCCGGGAAAAAATTTCTCCACTGGAGATTTTTAAATGATGGACTGTTACAAGCGGTTTCGTAGACACTAGAAAGAAGGAGTCTCCTACTTTTAGCACTGGGCTCTTTTCCTCGGCCCTATGTTACCGAAGTTATGGTCCCTGAAAAATTGAAAACTCGCATGCTGCTTTTCGCTCTTCTTCCATTCACTTAAAGAGACGGGTAGTATTTCATGAAACCCACTTTCGAGAGGGAAGGGGGGGGGGTAAGTGTCTAACAACGGCCCCAGGTTTTCCTCAAACTTATTCCTGACCCTGACAATCAATGAAAGGAGGATCTCTCATGGCTCTGTCCTCTCTGCCGCAATGTATTCGGGCTCAGACATGGTCGGAGCCATCGCGCAGGCGGCTGTCTTGGAGTGGAGTCAACACTTCGCTATACTCCGTCTAGACACGGTACAGCCATGGGGATGCGCCAATATGGCCGGCGTACGACCTCTCATTCGAAGAGGGCCCAGTTACGACCCCCACTCCTGCTCTAACTGACAACCAGATGTATGTTCACATGAAATGGCTTCCTGAAATGTAATCTGGAATTTTGAAAGGCGGACTCTGCTCCATCAAACTTAGCAATGACACTTTTGTACTGTTTGATGCTTAGCGAGCCTACATTTGCGATACTCCCCACGTCCCCCGCGGCCAAGTACGATCCCCTTTCTGGGGATTTCGCATGAAAAGAGGGCTGTAAATGGAGCAGTTAATCTGTAAAGAATACACTCATAATAATTTTCATTTTTTTAACATCTTGACTTCCATAGCTCCACTCCCACTATCAACTGAAATGTCAAAGCATTGCCCGGCGCTGAGTGACCCTTGAGATTACGAACCCCTCCCCCAGCGGCCAAGTCCCCCCCCCGGGCTCTCGCACACGATGCTGTGTCTAGAACGGATGGACTTCATTGGGTCGCTTCAAGAAATCACTTCGCTGCAATACACACCACAATTTGCTTACTTATGAACCTGACTTTCTCTCACAGTAGGTACATTGGCCCCTGTCAAACTATCGCGCTATACCTACTGCCTTCGAAAGGTGTACCCATCTGCTGCTCGCTTATACTATAGTACTAAGTCGTACGCGAATAACGGAAAGTGTAACGTCACTTGCGGCATTTTTTCTCGTTCTGTGGAGTTCCTGTAAGTTTTATAAAGCAACTCATGAATATAGGTTCCTTCGCGTGCAGAGCAGGATTCTTTTTGAGTATGAGGAGCATGGGCCACTATGTCAACAAGGCTTCTGAGAAGGCCGCTGAGGAGAGGATTTCATTACTGGTCCCGTGTCAACGAGGAAACAGCCGAAAACGGAAAATACTCGTACTGTCTTTGAAAGAGGTTGCGAAAGAAATGCTGAGCGAGGTCGGGACAAAATTTTACTTTTCTGCGGATGAAGAACACACGAAACACGACATGCAGTTCCGATTTGGATGCTATCCACCCAACAAAGAACAAACTGAGCGCCCCAGTCTGCGGGCAGCCTAGCAAGTGGGCGGTCCTATAAACAAAAAACTTTCACGGATGTTTAGAACGCTCTTCGCTCGTTGCTGCGTCGCGGAGAGTGGACAGTTCTTAGCTTGGCGTGGGATTGCTTGCCACAAGCAAGGACGACCATGGATCTTACTTCGAGCGCGGGCGCGTGTGTCAGACAACTAATCTTCGCCCCTTTAGCCTTGAACCAGTGCGTCTCCCTTAGTTGCTCCTTACCTGCTTGCCTTTCCTTTCTTGATTACAGTGACTATGGCTTGATAACAGCAACATTTCCCATACACTCCTTTTTGTGTCGAACGTAGTGTGATTGGTGAAGGACAGGTAGGAGGACGAACCTCTCCACCGTTCGCGTCCCTTCGAGAACGTCATTACAGGATGTAAGGTGTGTAGGCCCGCATCCCGTCAGTAGCGTGATAATTATTTAGACGCAATACGGCTTATGATAATCGGGTGCCATTTTCATACGTTGCACGGTCAGCCACATGCCTAACCACAGCCAACTGCGCTACCTGCGCCCTCTCAATTATACCATTGCTTGCCTTCTCTACGATCTTGGTATCGACGCAGGTGCTGTACGGGATAGCGCGGGTGGGGTATGATGACAGCAATCGGGCACCTCAACCCTCCAGCCTCGCTTTCGTGCATTTTTGAACGGAGAAAGTGGCACACAGCAGCTGCGCACCCGTTCACCTTACCCATGGAAAGGACCGTGTAAGTGTATGTACAGTATACGGCCTCGAGTACTATGCAAAATAAGTCATCTTGTAGTCGGATACCACTGTGCATGAAAAAAGTAACCACAGACTATCACCTTCCTGGTGAATACGTCTAGAAAAATTTAGTCGTGTCGAAAACTCTGCTAATAAGGGTTACGCAGTGCCCTGATCAAGGATATAAAACTGCACTGGGAATCTTAGCAGAAACTTTTGAGATTTACAGGCAGTTAGTTGAATAGTGCCGGAAGGTAGTAACACGAAATGGTATTGACGCGACGATTCGAAATGTTCTTCCAGGTGTCTGGCTCAGGCGGCTTTCGGTCGCGGATTCCACGTCCCCAAGCAGTGGAGCGTTTCCGAATCAGAAATGCCATCGCCAACTCGCAACTCCGTCAGCGATTTCTCAGGCGGAACCCACCATCCGACAACGAAGAGGCCAATCCTCGTTCGGTTACGATGCTACTTGAAATAGTAGTATAGCTGATGACGTTGCAGATCATTTGGCGTCCACACAGTGAAATAAAACTGAATGTTATGTTGAAAGAACCGATGACTAAAATAAGTCTATAGGGGCTTAGTTCATGCATTCACGTCCTTCTTGATCAAAGGCGCCTTCCAGGTTCATTACGCCAATATCCAGCCATTGCTCTGGCCTCGGGTTACCGTTGTGGATAAACTTCTTCGGGATTACGAACTTCAGCTTTCGTGAGCACGGCTGAAAATTCTATCATTTCATGTGAGCATGCTAATTGCAGTGAAAAAAACTTGGTGTAAAGCGACACGAGTACTTCTTAATTGCTGTCCGTTTATTGTTAGTGAAATGTGCTTCTTGTGAAATGGCCTACCACAGTAATCCGCCTTTGTACTTTACGACTGTAAAGAATTCGCGAGTCAGAGAAATTCGTGATTTAAGAAATTGGCGTCATTGGACTCCTACTTATTTGAAGGCAAATTCCGTGATTGCAGGCGATAGAGCTCAAAAACATCCCTCGTTCTTATCGGGGAGAGAAAACTCACTGGTGGCGCGCGCCGAGCGATGTCGCTGCTGTGGTTGGGCGATGGACTGGACACTGTCAGGCGCTGCCATCTCTGCATTTATGGACTGGCTCTTTATCGGGCCATAGTCGCCTTAGGCGGTAGCGTAGGAGCGCGCAGTGATAAATATACAATCGGTCTTCTTTGTAGAATCAGCATATCTGGTGAGAAATGTCCCATCTATTTTTGGAATATGCTTTTCAGCAGCCTTCTATGTCCTGAGCTGTTAATCAGACATCGTTTCTTACTTATTACCTTCCCCCTTGTTTCCTTTTGTTTACCATTCATTGACAGCGTGCCTTGAGACTGCCGTGGTACCGTGCATGCGACGCGTGCGCTCGCCGGTGAGCTTTTTCGCGGAGCCCGTTCTTAGCTGATCGTGATCACTGACAGCTACGGTCGGTTACAATAAAGCGACAATACTCTGAAAGGGTGGGAAGGAAACCAGAAAATGATAAGCAAGGCAACGCATCAACATTAACGGGCCATGCACGTCAATGTGCAACTAGTAGGTGTCTGCGACTCTAGCCCAAGCTCCTCGTTGTTTGCCAGTTTACTTTGCCAGTTTACAAGTCGCAACTGTCTCAGGATACTTGTCAGCCGCGATGAATCCCACCTCCTTCCTATTTTTCTTCTTCCTTCATCTTTTCCTCCCTACGTCCTCCACTCCTCCTTTGCCCTCTCCCTCGACTCGCTGGACCAGTAGACGCCAAGAGAAGATAAGTCAGCAACCCCGCAGCAAGAGCATGTCCGGTTAACCAACTCCGCCGATGATTATTTTCCTGCTGAATCGATTACTGACCAATCAACACGGGTAGAACAAGGCAGTCGAAGGCGAATCACTCCGCCCCTCCTGACACCGCCCAGGCTAGCTGCGACGCTATCAACTGCACTGCGAAGCAAAATCATAGTTCCACCCATGAATCTCACAAAATCCTGTCTTACACGAGGTTTTCCAAAATGCCCCCATACAAAAAATGTGGTAATTACCAATACCAATTCGCATGCCAACAACAAACTCTAACTTGAAAAAACAATTTTTTTCGTCAATTTTTTCAAAAATGGTCGTTCTGACAACGCAGCAAAAGTATAGTTCCACCGAACAAATCGAATATTCCAACAACAAGTGTACAATAAAATGAATAAATTTTGATCCAGTAATCTTATTGGAACT